ATATAATAATAGTGTAACAAAGTGTTAATCAAGACTTTTATATGCATCTGAAGGTTGAAAAAAGAGCTGTATCACTTAACAGTGAATTTTTGTTTACAGTAGTAGCCTAGTAATTATTTATATTTTAATGTTATTTATTAATTATGTCTTTGCAAACAGTACATGAAGATTTTGTATTTACAATATGGGTTTGTAATACAAGAGAGTTATATGCTAGCATTAGATCCAATAACATTATTGACTTACAGTCTAATTAACATGAGGAGTATATCATGTTGTACAGTAGGATAGAATTATTCATAGTTGTACAGTAGATTATTAATTATAAATGATTCAAATTTGTATAATACAAATTTATTATATTCAATAATGCTTTTTGTGAAAACATTGATTCAATTATATCTGTCACGAAGAATAAAAGGTTCATGTGATTGTTTCAGTTATGATGTGGGAGAAGAATTAGGTGAGGTAAATGTGTACTGAGTATTTGGATGTAGTCTAGGGTGATTAAGTGGTTTTTGAGAAAGTCTTAAATTGATTTTAGACTGCGTTACTTTAATATGCTTCTGGTAATGAATTCTAGTTTTGGGCCCTTTTGTGCATGAAAATTATTTACAAGTGTATATGGACGAGATGGTACATCAAAAAGAGATCGTGTCTTATGTTGTGTCTATGTGTCTTGTTAGGTATTGTGAGAATGAAGTTTGAGTAGGGGGTTATGTTTGTGTGAATTGTTCTGTGTATGTATGGTACATGATATCAGTATGATGTTATTAAGGTGACAGATTCAGACTTTTGAAAATTTGTGGAGTTGCATGCGGGATGGGAATTTGTTATTCTTACTGCTGCATTTTCTGGTATTAGGGGATTTGAGGTTGATTGGATGTTGTGATCCACATGCACATATTCTCATATGTAAGATAAAGGTTAGTGAGTGAATGGTACAGTGTCAGGAGAGCTGATTGTGGAACGCAGTACCTTATCTTTGATAGTATGCCTACAGTCTTGGAGATTTTCTTGGTGATTTGTTGTATGTGTGTCCGGAACTTAAGGCTACTGTCAAGGTGGATACCTAGGAATTTTCCCTCTGTGAGTCTTGTGACTGATGATCCATTTAGCGTTATGTTAATTGGATCATTTGCAGCTTTGTTTCCAAACTGAATGAAATAGGTTTCATCAGCATTCAGGGTAAGTTTGTTAGTCATCATCCAGGCAGATATTTTCTGTAATTTAGCATTGACTGTGTTTGCTAGTATGACTGTGTTTGGGTGGAAAAAGACATATGTAGTGTCATCTGTAAATAATATAGGTCTGAGTAGCTGTGATGCATTCGGTAGATCATTAATGTAGATGAGAAAGAGGAGTGGTCCAAGGATGCTTCCTTGTGGGACTCCTACTGTGATTGGTTGGGTGGAAGAGTTTGCATCATTTGCATACACATACTGAGTTCTGTTACTAAGGTATGACTTTAGGTAGTTGAGGGAGTGGCCTCTGATACCATAGTGCATTAATCTGGAGTACAGCAGTTCATGGTCGACTGTATCAAAAGCTTTACGTAAATCAATGAAAATGCCCAGCAGGACTTCTTTCTTTCAAGTGCGGTATATATTAGTTCTAGCATGTGTATGATAGCGTCATTTGTGTTTTTATTATTCCTGAATCCAAACTGACAATGGTTTAATATGTTGTGTGAAATGAGGTAGGAATAGATCCGTCTATGAATTAATTTTTCAAAGATTTTAGAGAGCAGTGGTAAGTTTGATATTGGTCTATAGTTATTCAAGTCAGCTTGGTCACCTCCTTTATGGATCGGAGTGACCCTTGCTATTTTGAGGATTGTTGGGAAGGTAGATGATTCAATGGATTTGTTAAAGAGCGTTGCAATAATTGGTGACAATACTCGAGAAGCTTTTTTGTACATAAAAGCAGGCAAGTTGCTTATGTCTCCTGCCTTGTTTTTAAGGGTGTTTATGATGAGCGTAACTTCTATGGGGTTGGTTGGAGCTAGGAATAGCGTATTTGGGTAGGTACCTATGAGGTAGTCTGATGGACGGGTGTTTGTGCTTGGTATTTTGTTTGCTAGATTTTTTCCTGTGGTGGAGAAGAAAACATTAAGTCTGTTTGCTGTTTCGGTTGGAGTGAGTAGGGGTTCATCTGATTTTGTTAGTTTGATTGCTTTGTTTTTGGATAACTTTTTAGTTCCAAGAATTTCAGATAGAGTTTTCCAGGTTTTTTTCATATCACCTTTGATGTTATGTAATCTATTTTCATAATACAATTTTTTAGATCTTATCAGGCTGGTAAGTGCTGATGAGTAACGTTTAGACTGTTCTCTAGTTATTTAACCCATTCTATACTGTTTTTCGTATTTATGCTTTGTGTTAATGGATTTGAGGATACTGGGTGTTAGCCAGGGATTATTCAGCCTCTTTGCTGTGATCTGTTTAGTTTTTCTGGGGCAATGTCTATTATAGAGGCATTGGGCTTTTTTTAGAAAATTATTTATACATTCATTCATATCTGTATATGTTTCAAGCTCATTTTGCCAATCGATGTTATTCATAGCTGCTATAAAGTTGTTAACTGCTGTCTCGTTATGTAGTCTGAAGGTTACTTTAGTAATGTCTTGTGGCAGTTTACCCAGATTAGTTATGAGAAAGGTTGGGTAGTGGTCTGTAGTGTTGTCTGAGATTATGACTGATTTTAAAGGGGATATGGTGTTTGTCCAGATGTGGTCTATTAAGGAGATGCTTGTCTCGGTGATTCTTGTAGGTTTAGATATTGCTGGTAGCAACAGGCAGTTACTCATTGTGTTTGTGAATTCGGTTACTTGTGGGTCCTGGTCGTGTAGTATGTTTATGTTGAAATCACCTGTTAGTTAGTAGTAGGTGCTGTATAAGTGGGGTCCTCCTCTATGTGTTTCTTATGCTACATGAGATGTTGTGCTTGACTTCTTTATTCTTCCTATATCAAAGCAGTTAAAAGTTATAAATAATGAACATCATATTATATTGATTTGCCCATTGGAAGATTCTGTCGATAACACTGACGCTTATTCTGGTATCGTCAGCAAGAGATGATACGAAGGTGTTATTCTTGTTTTTGTCTGCGATGATGTTGAGAAATAATAAAGGTGGTAGGTGGAACCTGGTGTATAATGGACATCAACGTTAGTGGCTTTCTTTGTGTCTAACAATATTTTACTACATGTAAACTACACTTTGTATACTATGCAAAGAACTGAAGTTGTTTGTTTTGTTTATTTAGAGACACATGAGCACTCACCACACTTCATTATGGAATAACTTAATAACTAATGACACTTATCTGCAGTTATCATAAATGCAAAAATGTATATTTAAAAATTGCAATTTTGTTTAATGTAAGTTGCATTTATCTTTTTTACTGTTATTTTTCACTACATGTAGTGACATTTTGCGCATGCATATGTCATTCATCTGTGTTTAGTTCACATATCATGGGTAAGACATGGTCAAAAATCATACATATAAAAATTTTCATCTGTGTTTAGTTCACATATTATGGGTAAGACATGGTCAAAAATCATACATATAAAAATTATGTTTCTCCATGGAAAAGTGGAACAAAATTCTTCCTCTGTGAGCCACATGTGTTGTCAGAGGCGACTAAAATGCCAGGTCAAGGGGCTAGTAACCCCTTCTCCTGTATAAATTACTAAATTTAAAAAGAAGACAAGCTTTAAAGTTTTTCTTTTTCGGGTCACCTCTCTCGGTGGGAGACAGTCGGTGTGTTAAAATAAAAAAATGTATTTTTTTTTGGTGGGTGTTTGGACCAAGGTGCTGCTTGAGGGGCTTCAACACACACAAATTCCCTTAGTTGTCCTAGTAAAAAAAAAGTAAGAATAAAGCTGCTTCAAAAAGTCTCTCTTAGTCACCTTCCAACCAGGCAGCTACCCCTAACCCCCTCCCTCCCACAGTAAAGAAATACAGGCACCACCTGACCTCCCCTGAGTGTTAGTGTGTCATGGTGTGTGGTGAAGCAGCGGCTCTGTTTACACTCTCCCTCCCTCCCTCCCTGTCTCTGTGCCTCCCTCCCTGTATGTCTCCCTGCCTCCCTGGTGCCCATGTACTGGATGTATCAGTGTGAGGAGAAGGAGAGAGGGCACTCCATCCTCTCCACCACTCCGGTTACCCTCCAACATAACCCTCCCCCATTTCTCTCTCTGAGACAGTCCAGCTGTTGACTGCCCTTAACACATCCTACTACTGTAGTGTGGCTCTCTTCTCTTTAATCAACATACATGTATATGCATTAATTAAACAACAGTCAATGCCATCTGTAGGTCAAACATCTAAAGACAGCTCTAACTTGTTTCCTATGAGGTCCACTGGAAATTCATCAACCACACTGAAGACAGAGAGCCCATGGGAGCACAGTCTGTGTTTAAGGCAATAATTCCAGAAATAATTATCGTTTCAAAGGCATATGAACCAGGAAACTATCAAACATTTTAAACACTGAGAGTGCAAGTTCATGCTTAAAAACCACTGTCTGTGGAGCTAAACACAATCAAGTGGCAATGGGAACACACTCTACATGTACAGCAATGAATACTTAAATCACAGTTCATCAGGAGTGTGAGTGTGTGGTGACTGCAACAACTAAGTACAAATACATGTAATACATGTAATAAAATACTGATAGGCACAATAGAAAGTCAGTAGTATGCTATGCATTTCAGGAAAACTAATCCTAATGCCTAATGATTATTTAAGAATAGATGTGGACTATTAAGTTGATTTCTTATGCAGTTAAATACAATCATATGCACAATAAGAGAAGTAGCTAATGAACAAATGACAAATGGTACATTAAGTTATTTAAATGGTACAATTGACAACACTTGGGATGTGCAAGTGCCAGCCTGATCTATCGGCCGTGACACCATACACATTAAATATCAGAAGACATTACTGCAAGCACAAGTATTAGAAAGAGTAATAATGTAGATCACAAACCTCCATTATGCAGAGATAAGTCAAAATCTGCTGTATTGATCAAGATTCTCTAAGGCTGCTGGTGCTGGGAGCCTGCAATGTGTCTGGTGTAGACCTGAGAGTGAGTGTTAGTAGACATCAGAGTGAGTGTAGTAGACCTCAGGGTGAGTGCTAGTAAACCTCAGGATGAGTGTTAGTGAACATATACACTAGACAAGTTAAAAAATGATTGTACTGGAAGAAAAGTGGTTGAAAATTCAATTCAGCTGTGATATAGAAGTCACACTGATAGGCAACTATTCCTAAGATAGTAGATTATAAGGAAAATAGTGGAGCAGTTCCCATGTGGTAACCTGAGCATGTCTCCTCTGATGTACTTCCAACTTTAAACACTGCTGTATCATGCTTACAACATTTGATGGTTATTTGATTGTGTAGGTGCTAATTTGCCAGTTTTATTTAAAAAATGTGTAGTATATTTTTCTAAGTAATAATAAGGAGAGCTAATGAAAGAATAGATGAGGATTTATTGGTAGATTTTGATGCAAAGAAGAAAATATTTTAGCACGAGCCTGGCCCATGGATGGGTTCCAGGAGTAGTAAGACTCTGGAAACTCATCAAAGGTATATCAAAGGTAAGATGCGTTGAGAAAGTCTGGGGTGCAAGTGGA